TGGCCTTCCAAAAGAGGACACGACTAGAAATCAGTGGTTAAGTTGTATTTACAACACTGTTCAAGAACAGTTCAAACCAAATATTCAGATGTGTGCAACGCATTTTACGGAGGACGAGGACTGTTTAGAGTAGCCTACAATGCCGGTGTTCCGGTGAAGCAAATAAACCAAATAATGTTCTTTTTAGCAGCATCATATGACCCCTTTAAGCAACGTCATATGACCCCTTTAAAGCACGCTCTAAGAGGAACAACCTTAAGAGCAACCTTCTCTAACTACTCAATTTGTATTTTTAAAGAAAACATTGTTTATATTGTCTATGCATGTTTTTTTTTTTTTTATCTTTAATAATGGAACTGAGATGTTTCCCACAAAATGTTTGCTTACAGGGACCCAGAACTAGTGAATAACAAGCAGCTGAAGAAACACACACACACACACACACACACACACACACACACACACACACACACACACACACAAAAGTGTGTTATTATGACAGTATACTAATGTTGTCTGGCAGTAATTTGTGCATTAGTACTTGCATTTAGTACACTTAAACTGAGATACTTTTGGATAGCGACATTATTATTATAATGAAATAATGCTACTCTGAAATTAAAAACATGTTCAAAACATAATATAAAAACATCTAAGGTGCACTCACAATGTTGTGTTTGTGTTGCACTGCATATAGAAATGCACTAGAAATATACATTAAGCTATTATATATTTATTCCACAATCCAATTTTCCCCAGAAGATCTTTGGACAGTTACAAAGATAAAGAAAGTGGTATTCACTTATAAAACAAAAATATATGGGAATATACTAGAAAATAGAATGCAATAATTTCCATATATGGGAAACTAGTGCTTATATTATCAATGTACTACAACATACTGTATGCATTGATCGTGTATTTGATACATATAAAAAATATATAGCAATGAATGCAAAACTGCACTACATTTATATAAGGAAATATAATATATTTGCCTAAGGTTTCAGCTGGTCATGTGATCTCAACATGGCTGCTCTCATGAGGTGCACTGGAGTGTTCATCTTCATTTTAAACAAAATGTTTTATCCGTAGGTGCGAAAGCTTACAAAAGTAGCAAAATAACATGCAATATCTGTCACATTTGTAGAAGGGGTGTCTGGAAAATAATGGCATTGTGTTCCCTGGAAATCAGAGAATGGAGACAGGCAGCACGAAACACGCTACCGTGATCTTGTTACGAGAAAAGTAAATAACAGCTAAGCATCAAAACCAATGTCTTTACACAGCAGCAGCTGCTGCTGAACTATTAACAATTGCGTTCAGGGGAAAACTACAGTTTGGAACAAATTTGCAGTGAGTTTGCGCTGTCGGTTAAATGATCTATGTGGTGTGAGGGAAAGTCTTAAGGGAACGAGCCCTCCCCAGAGGAGCCGTCTGTCTGTATATGGGTCAGGAACGAGAGCAGCTAGCATTTATTTCCTTTACTAGATGCTTAATATACTTAGATTTGCTGAATCTGCAAATATTATTGCTGATAGCTTAAATTAACATTAAAGAAGCCCTTCTGAATGCTGGTTTTGTTTTCAGTAAATGAGTGGCTGCATTAAATGAGAGTTTCTGTTTCAATAATGAAGCCTCTAGACATTTATATTTGTAATGAACTGTTTGCATTTTCACAAGGGCTATGCCTTGATTATCTTAATAGCACATAATATATTACCATAACAGCGGTTGAAGTTTTGAACTTGGCAAACGCAAACATAAAACATTTGCATTAGAAAGCACGATTCCCAACTCTAAAATTAGAGTTTTAGTTTTTGGAGTGCAATCTTTTTGATCACACCAAAAAAAAAAAAAACTATTAGTCTCAACGTGCAGCAACATGAAATCTTATGTAAATTCCGGCAAATTTGCATAACATAAAATCATCAGTAAGGGTTGCCAGGCAACAGTACGCTTGCGCTCTAAGAGCCTGTTGATGGTCTATCCACTCTGTCGAGCTGTTTCAATCCAATTTGCCCTAGGGATTTACAAAAGAAAAATGTATCAAGACATGTTAGGTAGAAA